TCCTTCCATTGCCGTTGGTTCTGCGACAAAAATCACCAATGGTCAATAGTAGTGCTTAAGTATTGCTACCCTCCTTTTAATCACTTTTTAATAGGCCTATTCTAGTCCCCAACCTATAGACTGCTACATTATTAACATACTGTATAATAATAATATAATAAAGTGTCTACTGTTCAAGTTGATTCATTGACTAACAATTTGTTGGCGTCAATCATTTGCAATGCAGAACACGTGTAAATTATTTTAGGCCAAGGTGACTTTTTTTTTATAAAATTTAATAACAACATGATTACAAATATCCGTATCGAAAATAATTTGAAGACGTTTGTCATGTTCCCTGAATTAAGGGTTATGTTCAAACTGTAGAGTAGACATTTTACCTTGATATTATAAATTGGTGATGATGTTGCTTAGTTGGAGTCAAATATAAATGCAAATTAGTATTTATCGGATGATATATTATGGTAGTTCACGAGCATGCGTCTGTAAAGCGAAAACGGGCTAAGTCAAACGAACGAACTAAAGTAAAATTCACTAAACTAGAGATATTCATTTGACATAATACTAACAAAAAACAGTGAAACCTCAAGAAAATATCGTTAACCTTTTTCCCCATAACGGGTAGACAATTTTCCTTTATTTCGCTTTTTTTAGGACTTGACGTTTGAAAAATTAGACTGATGGTACATATGTGTATAACATATACATTTTTCGGTATAACACTAAAAATGCAACTTTAATAATGTTTTTGCCTATATAATGCTTTTATCGATATTTAATGATTTTACCATCACCCGATTCGCAAATCGCATCGAAGCGTTTATTTGGATGATATTGTATCACTTTCGGATATAACAACTGCTGAAAACCTGTAACTTGCCCGATTCCAATATACTCCATTGTGATTGTACTATTTACAATTATAAGTTATAACAATTCCTAAAAACCCGTGACCTTTCTAGCTTCTTAATTGTGCAATTTTATTTTTAGTTTCATTTTCAATGGACGTTAAAAGCCATACAAAGTGTTCGATACTTTTTTTTAAATTCAATTTTTCATGTAAAAAAAAAACCGAATGACTTACATTTGTTATAATACTGTCTTATGGTAGTACTTGTGCGGAGACCGTCTGCTGGTTCACAGCAAACAGTCGAGCATTGCGTTTACAGGCCACAGTCTTCCGGTGTTATAATCACAACGGCGGCAAGTGCGAAACACGCTGTTCGTGAGAGATTTATTTGGTTCGGGAAAAAAAAACAATGTGTAATAATCACGTTAATAGTATATTATCCGGAGATAGTCGTGTAATGTTTTGGAGCCCGAGTTAAGTAACGATTAAACCAGTTCAAACGCCTTCTTATAGTATATCAATATCGTTTTAACGTACCTAGTATTTATGCTGTAAGCATATTGTTTTAATACAGGACCAATATAAGAGTACACCGGAGAGAACCGAATCGTGATTTTGTTAATAACACAACCGTTATAATATGGTTGAACAATATCCAACGGTAGGTAAACTAGTCTGTGTACTCAAGAGTTTGCATCGCAATTTATGTACAACAATAATAATACGTGCAACCGACCTATATATTACCTTCTCGGTCGACCATAAGCAGAAACAAGCACTGCGAAGAATTCGGCACAATCCGCATGGTTAATCTATTTTAATAAAGTACACATTCTTAGTGCTACGCGTCTTTTTGTTTTTGCTTTCTGTGCGCATTTCCCTCTTTTTCGGTCTACTTTCACCGGCGGGTTGACCAAGATCATTGCCCAGTGGGCCGCATTTCTTACATAATTAATTTTTCACACGTTACCCATCCATATGGTTGTGTTGTTTTTGTAGGCGCCAAAAAAATATAATTACATCACGGTCAGATTATTTTGAAAACCGAATGTTCCGCAACCAAAAACCGGCAGATGATCGCCCTTTAACCCAAATCCAATGCGGTGTGGTACACATCATGAGCGTAGGACATTTCATTTATTGAAATAATATTTAATTAACTAAACAACATTATTGTGGAATTAAACAAATGTTAATATTTAAAACGAACAAATTGGAAATGCATGTTTAACAAAATAACACCATTTTCGTAATTTTCATGATATAATGAGGGATTTAGTTCTGTGTATGTGAGTAGGACATGTTTACAATTGGTTTTCCTAACATATTTTTTTTAATCTTTATGTAATGTACATACATATAATATACTTTGTACAAAGTGTATTATAATGATAATTAAACGCTTGTTCACGCGTAATATTTATTTTATGCTGCCGTCAATCAAAATAACACACGTGCATTCATCCTCATGACATAAGTTGTAAGTAATACCATATATTACAAGTAATAAATACTAATAGTAATCATGATAGCACTACAACTAAATACTAATAACGGTAATAAATATGGATTCAACCAAGAAGAGTGTAGATGCATAAACAATATTGAGGGTAAACAACATTTCAGTAATAATTATAGTAGCTCATAAGCATACTAGTGTGACGTAACCCTCGTCAGATTAACATGCTTTCTACCCGATTGAGTATTGTCGATGAAGGATGATCCTAAGCTGTACAAAATAAAATAAAAAATGTTTTTTTAATGGATCGCAGTTTTAGTGGAATATCATTTCAGAATATTGCTCGTCACTTTACTGAAACCTATAAAATACATTTACATTCGTTTTTATGTAATCTTTATTATTTATGACTCAAGGTTAGACGACCCATAAACATTTGTACACCCATGATCCATTTAGTTCAACTTATACCGAATAAAAATATATATGCGAGAGGTGCCTAAGCTTATACCTTTTTTGTAACATTTTTGTTATTAAATCTTAGTGACTATTTTTCATATCACACCCATTCATACTTTCATTTTTTATGATTTATAAAAAATATGTACCTATCACTTAAAATATTAAGTAACCCATTAAAACCATAATATCTCTGCACGTTTTTTTCTCTTTAAGCAGACACTATATTATTATATCTACACAAACCCAATACCTATTGTCCATTAGGATAATATTTTATTATTAACTATTTCAATTTCAATTTTATAGCTTTTAACTCTTATTTGAAATATTATAGCATTACTTTATTTTAGAAGATGTTTTATCTTCGATGCGGAGCTGAGAAGGTATTTTTTGTTGTATGCTATTGTTGAATTTTTTTTAATAGATTTTAAATATATCAGACATAAATGATTTGCCTGTTGCGTAAGGGTAAAGCGGTAGGTCTTATTTCTTAACTAATGTTCATTAGACTTTGAGTTAACAAGTTAAAAGTTGGTAGATGCTTTATTTGATGTGGTAGAAAAGTCTCCCAAAATTAAATAAAAATATAGAACATACCAATTATTATTGTTCCACCGAAGAGGAGAGAGTAATAATTAAATCACTTATAGAGTTCACTGTCCGCTCACTAAACTCACATAATATCGCCATCCACGTAATATTTGTTTGTTTTTATTAAGTAAAAAAAGTTACTCATGTTTTATTTTATGACAACAGACAACTATTTGGCATATTATAATCATTATTCATGTTTCTAAACTGAACGTTATACAAAGTTTTTTTTCCAAAATAATGTTCTTTAAATAGCGGCCTACCTATCGTTAAATTTTTCATTTAGGTTTGGTGGGAAATATTACTGCTATAATTCAGTATAATATTTGTTTAATGTTTTGGTATTAAATACAAAATATAAATTTAGCATTAAATGGTAATACAAAATTAAGACTAAAATTTGTTGTGTATCAAGTACAATGCAAGTTCTCTTTTTTCAGAATTTAGTGCAATTAGTAATTACATTATTTTGTCATAGATGTTGTCAAAGTTTATTAGTATTTTAAAATGACAGATAATTAAATGTTTCAAAAATGTTGTTCAAGTATTATGAAAATATTTCCATTGTTTAAGTTATATATTTTAAATAAAAGGATAAAGTTTTAATTTTTAAGCAACATTTTGTTTAATAATAGCTTTTAAACATATATATACTCCTTACAAAACATGATTTTATAATATTTTTTAAATGTCAAAAAACAAAATCAACATTTTGAAACTTATTAACTTAATTTTTTTTTTATTGCTGTCTGGGTAGTTGTTAAATCAAGTTCTAACTCTAATAAATCCATCTCTATAATATGTAGTTAATATAATATGATATAAGACGACACCTCAATGATAAATTTTCTTTAGATCAAAAGAATCTCACAACAATAAATTTATTGGGATCTATACGTGCATCGTGATCAATAATGATTATTATTATAATTGTTATTGTTTGATAGGCAAACAAATAAACGTACGAATCATTGATATATCATTAAAATTCTTTCATTAATGACTAAACTGATAATATATTTATGGGTAAGTGTTAAGTATACTCCATGTACAGATAATGGATATAGATACGCCAAAGTTTGTAAACCATACCTAAATAATTATGTGTTCAGAGCCGAAAGCATATTTTATCCATTGAATTGTCCATATTTTCAGTTGAAAAACAGAAATTGCATATTTAATACATTTTGGACAGTACAAAAACGGTAAACTAAATACAAGTTGAAAAGTCATTTAAGTTGTTGCTGTTCTCTCGGGTACCTACTCTACCTAGTATCTACTATATTATGGCAATGTTATAGCCAATACTTCAGGCCCCGCACACCTGTAGTCTGTCTTCCCTTTGACCGGCATTACTGTTGCATAACTGAGGTGAATAATATTTTTTAACAATATTATTATATTATAGATGATTAACCCGGATTGCCTGCAAACGCAGGCTAAACCGTCGTGTATACATATTTTTTTTTTTTTTAACCAAACATCTACAATCACTTTATATTGAGGTATAATGTAATTACTAGTCTGGGAATCTGTGAAAAGAGATTTACAATATTCATTCCTTTCATTTTCGTTCCCTACCAAACTGCGCGCCTTGTCCTGCAGGTGGGTGGTGGTTGTATAAAACACCAGAGCAATTACATGTAGCTATTCAATACTCGTTGTAAGTTCAGTGACTAACGTGAAACATAACACGCGTTTGTGTGTATTTTTAATAAGTTTAATTTATATATTATATATAAGTTCACAAATATCAACAAAATGAACGGATTCGTATTGGTAAGTAAAGTTTTTTTTTTATTAACTATTTTAAAGACATATTTTTTTTTAAACCCCGCCGTCCAGTTCTTAATATTTTAACAACCATTTATTCTAACATTTTATAAAAAATCTACAATTTTTACATATGTGTTAGTTGTTAATGTTTAAATATGTGTTTATTTCATAAACTCAAAAATGTATAAACTATTTATTTGTAATTATAACTCGCATTCACCCTTTGTTTAGTACACTGTTAAGTGTTAAGTTACATTGATGGTTTTATTTTAAAATCAATATAAATATTAAAACCTAAGCGTGACTAGTATTTATAAGTTAAAAGTTTAACAAGTCCCAAGTTTGGCTTTAAATAAGAATGATGGAGTGTTAAATTATAAATATAAATTCATTGAGTAACGTCTTTTTGGTAGCTAACTTGTTAAATAAAAAATCATCATAAGTCCAGTGCAGTACATAAAATGTACAAGCTAAAAAGTAAAAATGCTAGCCATCTAAAATATTTAATTTTTTAAGTCATTGAATTGTTTAATTTGGTGATTTTTGATCGAATGTATGCAACTCAACATGAAAATTAAAAAAAAACTTCATCACGCCCTTTAAAATAAACAAATAATGATTGTTTAACAGTGGCCAATTCCGTTTTAATATTCTATTGATGATTAGTGTAAAAATCAAAACGCTATTTTTTAATTTTTAAAACTTCACAACCGTATGACTTTTAGTGCTTTGTTGTCGCCGCCATTGCCATGACCTCCGCTGAGCCACCAAGTGGCTACAGTTACAGTCGGCCATCATCATCATTCGGCTCCAGCTTCGGCGGCGGAAGCGGCTACTCCAGCGGCGGAGGCGGCTACTCCAGCGGCGGAAGTGGTTACTCCAGCGGCGGAAGCGGTTACTCCAGCGGCGGAAGCGGCTACCCCAGCGGCGGAAGCGGCTATTCCAGCGGCGGTAGCTATGTACCGGTCTCCTCGGGACCGTCCACATACGAAGGCCAATACGTCGACCCACAACTGCTCGAGCAGATCAAGCAGATCGTGCTCAAGGACGAATCCTCCTCGTCCGGTGGATACCCATCGTCGTCGTACGGCGCCCCGTCCTCCTCTTACGGAGCCCCGTCTTCCTCGTACGGCGCCCCGTCTTCCTCGTACGGAGCCCCGTCATCCTCTTACGGCGCCCCGTCGTCTTCATACGGAGTACCCTCCTCATCGTACTCCAGCCGCGTTGTCGGACTCGACTTCGAAGGAGTGAAACCCGCCATCCAAGTGGCACAATTCAAACAATCCGGCGGATATTCGTCCGGCGGCGGATACCCGTCCTCCAGCTACGGTGCCCCCTCCAGGCCGTCCTCATCCTACGGTGCCCCCTCAGGGTCATACTAATAACGTTAATTATTAATTATTCGTCATCCCTCGTATTCGCCACCACCACATCCAACCATGTTCTTTTACTCGGCGTCTTGAGTATCTTTTACAAAAGACCTACAACCACTAGGATGTCGTTTCTCAGCCAACCAGTAAAAGAACTACAATTTTATTGTTTACATTTTTTTTTTATATTTCATTTTGTAATATATAATTCTTGAGTGTTTTGTTACATGTGTAGTCCAAACGTGCTTAGCCATACTTATACTATATCTAGATAATATATTTATAGGCTAAAAATATAGCTGTCCATGTACATGGGCGCTGGAAAAAAACTAATCTTTTTCTTTACACACTTATACGACGATAGTTAAGGTAGTATATTATAGAAATTGAGTCGCTTATGCCAAGTTGCATGAATCGTTCGAATTGTAGTCGGCCATTACATTTAGAATTTTGGCACCCAAAAAACCAGTGAATCTCGGTAGTGGTAATGGCTCGGTAAAACCACAAAATATACAGAAATTGATTAAGACCTGTGGCCGAGGTCACTATATGGCTCCTCATAAAAATGTACCGGAGTGTTGACGTTTGCCATTTTAGGTTACAGTATATATTGTGTAGTCGTATATTGAGAAATTTTATCAAGCCCTAATAATTTAGATTCGGTGTACCTAATAAAAAATCATATATTATGTACATAATAATAATAATATTATTATCATGTACATTGTACATACATATAAACCGGTTGTAAATAACAAATTAAATTAGCTGTATGTCGCGAAAATTGCTTCATACTTCACGTGTACGTGTATGGATTACACTCTTACCACCGTTTCCAATCGTTAATAATAATAAATAAAATAATCTATGTTCATTTGGCACACACGCCTAATTATTATTATACACAATGTATACAATTATAATATTCGATTTCAACCGCTAGTGAACAATAATAACATACAAGTATGCATTGTATGTTTATATATTATACAATATTTTGGTCAACAGGTGTGTATTAATAAGAAGGCCGGTTGTAAAAGAAAAATAAACGCTTTTATTATTATTAAACTTAATATAATATACACATATAATATATCAAAACAATATTAAACCGTACGGGCAAACAAATAAGTATAGATTACACGAGTTAAAAAAAAAAATTGTACAATTAATAAACATTTGCAAAAAAAGAAGAGGTTTTTTTTTGCATTCTATCCGGTAATGGCCTTAACGAGTATGATGAGCAGGTTGATAATTATCAACGGGTCTGAAACAAAAAAAAATAAAAAAATAACTTATTCGCTTGGCTAGTTTAAGACGAATGGAACATATTTTGTCCAAAGTTGAGACACGCGGTGCAACTGTACAACTACGGAAACGCCGTAGAGTTCAAAATTATATAACGCTTATAATAATGCGCGATTACGTCCACAGCGCATTTATATGGCCTAGGGAACATAATATACATTCACAAAATTGTACACACTAACAGTATACAAGTATATATCTACACGTTAAATCTTAAAATTAATTTTCGCGATGACCCAGTTCCGAGTAAGTACGAGATATGGCCGTTCGTTCCGTCATTAAAAATCATTAAAATTAGAGATTTGTGTAACGTCGAGCATAATACCTAATAAATAATAACAATATTACCAGCGCTATAATAATAATAATAATAATAATAATACATATTTGTACAACTCTGGCACGAAAGGGTCGAGACGTTAGTCATACTACTGTATTCTGTCCCGCGAGCAATACATTAGGTATTATCTAACAAGGTGTATCGAGACAATAGATTAATAAAATTATAATATATACACATGTAAATCAATCAGATTACATGTATCATGGTTACTTTATGGTGGAAAAGCGAGAAACATAAATGTACAATAAAAACAAGATAATTGTTGGATTTGACAGCCAAATTGGTACAAACATATTTGCTTAATTTTTAAATTTACCGTTCGTGTTAAGGAATTTTAATTTGTATTTGTTTTAACAAGATACATGGTGAAACCTTATCGAGATATTTTAGTAGTTTCGTTTGGGTTGTGCCATGAATATAATTCTAGGGTGAAATATATAAGTTAATCAGGCGAGCAGGGGCACATGTCTTGCAACGAAAACTGTTGCCCTTAACATTTTGGCAAGTCGTATTTTGAGGCATTATTATATTAAAGAGATTATTTTTAAAACTCCAATTGTTTAGCTTATTTTGCAATGTTATTAAAAAGATTTAAGACACCAGCTAAAAAATGCAATATCAATTATTGCAATGAAGGAGATATGATTAAATAATTACCCTTTATTTCAATAAACCGCTCTCAAATGTTGTACCTAACTAATGTACACAAAGCTCTATAAATGATCTAACTAAATTTTTGAATCGGAAATAAAATACAATTCATTGACATAGGGTAGAGATTTAAGAGGAAGAAATCTTCCCAAATTATTCAAGATTTTAGATAAAAATAATAATAAAATAGCATCGTTTGATTTAATTCCCATTTGGTGAGGCTCAAGTCTCCTTCAGATTTTTGGGTTAATTGCAGTTAATTATTGGTAAAAGTCTTGGTTAAAGTCTAATCACGCCATTCAAAACCCAACATACTTTTTAAGCATTTTGATATTTTTTAACATGTGTGACGAATGGTATTCCGAATAAAATATTTTACTCCAAAGGCAACTTTTACTAGGAAACCTTTCAAATGGTTTGCTATGAGAATTTGACACAAAAATTATTTTAATAAAAAATCGTCATTAATATGCTATTATATTTATATTTATACCTATACAAAATAAAATATTAACTCTAAATTTTTTTGTCAAAAATTACCTACACAAAATTATTTAAAAAATAGTGTGCGACATTTTCATAAAGGCCATAATGAGCAGTGACGTAACTAGGATTTCAAAAATGAGATTATCATACATACATGAGAGGCTATAAGGATTTATTTTACATTACAAGGAGTCACGCTCGCAGTGAACTATTTTTAGAGGGTGACCTTATAATTTTTGAAGTATCCCAGTAAGCAGAAAATCCGTATATAATTTTACACAAAAAATTGTCAATGAAAATAGTAAATAGAACCCAATGACCAATGCATTAGAAATTAATCTATCCAGTTTTTTCCCTAAGCCCCAACTGGATATGCTTCTGCTTTCCAGCTTGACTTTGTGAAACCTTGCGCTAGCACTGAAGTTAATTATTTTACAAATTACCATAAGTCATTTTAATGAGCAATAAGATCGCTATCACTTTTTATAGTAGAACATATTGCTAAAGTAATTATAAAACTCATGGACATCGATTTAAATAATGAAAATATATTTTTAACAACTATTAGACATTTTACTGGGAGAAGGGTGAATAGGGAATTTGCATTTCCTAAATTCTCAATGCCTTCTAAGTCCTTCATTTGTATGGCTTTATACTGTTCATTAAGGGACAACTGTTGTGTATTGTATAATTAAACAAAATTTACATATTTTATAAAATGTTATGTACAAATTATAATAATACAATTTAACTGATGTTAAAATGCTATCATTTAACCCAATAAGAGAATAGTGAAAAAAATGCATGTATGTATAAGGTTTTGTTAATAGTAGGTATTCTGTACCTATAAATGTAAAATATCAAACACGTAACAATACCTAGTGGTTATGGAAGGAACTGCTAAATTATTGAGAGCAAACAAAAACATAAACTAACTGCCAAGTAGTTTGACAATAAAAATGACATCTAAATAAATCAATTTTGAATTTAAAAAATGAATAATTCGAAAGCAACTAAACATTTGCGTTACTAATTATGATTGTGATTCGATCAGTTTAATTATTTTCCAACCTATTTACCGCAAAAACGACAAATTGATTGTAAATTCATAAACATAATGTAAGACATCTTATATTATCTTATATTATTAAACATGGCTCTCCTAGCTTAAACAGCAAAATATTATTTAAAGTACAAAATGCCTATCTTAAGATATGGTCACAAATGCTATTACAATTTAAATATTAATTTATTCTGGAATTGATAACGTTTACAAAGTTTTATGTGAACGTAATCATTTTCAATTTTATTTCCATGCATTTTGGGTAGCAATGCTTGCATTTATTTTAAATCAAGTTACTGTTACTTATTATTATATCTTATATTTGATTAAAAAAGCAGATTTTGTTTAAAGGATATGTTTTTTTTTGTTTATGACATTTGGATTTTTAGTATTACAAACAATATTGTGATAGTGTAATTTAAATGGCTTTAATTATTTTTATTTGAGTGTTTTGACTAGTACACTTATTTAGTATAGGTACTTATAATGATATAATAATTAATTAATATAATAATTTGTAACGTAAAATACGTTAAACTTGGTTTTTTTTTATCAAAAATTATTAATCAAATTTAAAATTTTTATTTATTTATTCGTAAAGCCAAATAATTAAAAATATTATTTGGATGTTAATAGAACATCATAATGTGTTACCTAGAATGATTTATTTAGATCTTGGTTATTTCGGATGTTTCTTAAGAAAATAATTCAAGTTGTTTACATTGTGAGGACTGTAGGTTGTGTAAATACATGTAGTACAAATACCTAGTCTTTCAAAACAATAATAACTAATGTAAAATATAAGAGTAGAAACCATAATACTATTACATACATTTAACCACGGTTCGTATCGATTTTATGAGAGTAAGTATTTGCATTTTCGCCGACGTGGTATCCTGAAAATCCTGGTTTACTGTCGACCATCCATCTAAGCAATTAATGTCAAACATTTGTTAAAACATAACGATTAAAATCATAGGTATTATTGCTTAAAAGACATTTGGCAATTGATCATTTCACTTACATTTGGCCATTACACGTTCTTCGTTCAGAATACAAACAGCGTTCAAACACAACAACGCAGCCTCCAGTAAAGTCCACAAGGAAAATCCCATATCGGTTCGCTGGACCGAAAAACGGCACGAAAATCAGAAATTTTAACACAACTACACTTAAGTGTCAGCTAACCAAATTTAACAACAGCTCACAGCACCAATAATGGAAATTGCAAATATTATATTTATTATTTTTCCGTCACTTGTTATCACGTTACGTGTCCGAATTATCAGTTTGTCGGTATGTGATAACAACGATTTTATTTTGAAAACGAAAAGGCGGGGAAACTTCTTCCATGCAAGCACATCTCTTGTTCGTGATCATAACCTAAACAATTTTTCGGTGAGTGATAAATGATAGTGTCGACGACTGCTGAATAGAATTATTAGTTATTTGTATTTTGTATATACCTGCCCAGGGAAAAAAAACCTTAATTTTGTTCAATTTTTCCAGTAAACGGCTTGTTCTTTCTTGCGACAAAACGAGAGGGAAAAAATGCGCTAAAAATGGTCTCAAAAATACATTTTCAAATTCAAATTTATATGTGCACGTGCGTTAAATGGTTTTTCGGCGACTCTATCGTTTCTTGAACTTGGTTTGACTTTAAACAAAACGAAGCCTTTTGGTATGTCAATGTTTAACTAAAGGGCATTGCTATAAATATTAAATGTGCATTTTGATCGTGTACATATGTATTTATAATAAGCTAAACATGTCGATTTCAATCAAACATGATATGTAGTTTAAATTTCTGTTTATATTCATTTTAAACATTGACCTATTTTTTAGATTTAAAACTTCTTCAGTTATTTTTTTTTCTTATTAAACGTAAGTACACTTATAATTTATTAAATTATTATCAAAAGCAAAAATTATTAATTAACTATTAAATGAGTTTTTTTTTATACAAAGTAAGATATTATTAATAGTCGTTAAATTATGAATACAATTTTTAATCGTTTAGATAATTAATTAAATATATATATACCTTTTTTTTTATTATTATAAAAATGCCGTGGGCAGCACAGGATAACTTTTTTTTAATATTATAAGATGTTAAATATTTAAAAAATACTTGTTTAATGAATTGCTTATTTTTTAAAATTATTATGAAGGTAAATAGTTTAAATACTTTGTTTTGTACACTTATAATTTATAAGGTTAATTCATACTTGTAGTGTAAAATCAGTATACTTGAGTAATCTATTTCTAATTTGCTAATGATGAATACAATATTTTAAACTTGATATAGCTGGTACTACACAAAAGTATGTTATTACATGATTGCGCTTACGTCATTTTTTACTCATATAGTTTAAGTCTGAAGCAAATCATCAGTTATAGTTTTACAATGTTGACTAGATACTTTAAAATTATTTTAGTTTGATTAAACATTTTTTTTATTTACAGGCAAGAGATAAAAAATGGATAGTACCCAAGATGAAGTTGAACTTAAAAGTGTCGTCACAGACTCAAAGCGTACAAGGTTTCAAGTCAACTTAGTTGACAGTGAACCTCATAGAGTGCGATTAGATAGTGCATCTTCCGATGACAACAAATATAGAAGTTTCCGACAATTGACGCGAGAAGCGTTACCACGTTTGGATAATTATAGAAACATCATGTCTGTGCATGTTGCTTGTAGGCCCACTCTTGACGAATTGCATAATAATGATATGGCTGAAAAAGTATAATTTTTAAATTTATCTATTGCCTATGTATATATAATATTGGATTCAATGAAATATGTGTTAATATTGTAGAAGATGCTGGCTCAAGAAAACGAGCCGAGTAGACCAGTACTGAGAAAACACGAACAAGGTTGGATCCAAGGTGTTCTTATTCGAAATTTAGTGCAGATATGGGGTCTTATGTTGTTTCTCCGATTAGCCTGGGTTGTTTGTACTACCGGCTTAGGTATTTTTTCTTATTAATTATATTTTTATTTTTCATAACTATAGTTAATGTTTGTGTATAGTTTCAGGCATTGTCATTATCTTTTTCGGTGGCGCTATAACTACAATAACTGCATTGTCTATGTCGGCAATTAGTACAAACGGCGTATTGAAAGAAGGTGGCACTTATTTTATGATATCTCGTTCCCTTGGACCAGAATTCGGAGCGTGTATTGGTGTTATATATTCTATAGCGTTAGCTGCGGCGTGTGCTATGCATTTAGTCGGGTTCTGTGAAATGGTGCAAATATTGATGACCTCTGCCAACTGGTCTATTATGGACGGTGGTGTACAAGATATGAGGTTATTGGGAATCGGATTTACAGCTGCGTTGTTATGTGCAACTCTTGGCGGAATACGTTCCCGTATCCAGGTTTGTAAATAATGTTAACTGTATTATTTTAATATTATTTTGATTTTTTTACTTGATAATATGGTTTATCCACAGATTCATGCCGCAGTATTGGTTCTTATTGTCATAGCTATTTTGAATGTGCTTATCGGGGCAATTGTAGGACCTCAGACCAAATATGAAAAAGATCTGGGATTTATCGGATTTAGTTGTAAGTGTGAAAAATAATTATTTTCTCGTGAATTAATATTATAATATTACATTAATTACAGGGACTGCAATCAATCATAACTTGTTTAAAAATTTTGAATCTGTTGAAGACTGGTTTAAAAGCTTTTGGTGTGGATTTGCTGTTTTCTTCCCGGCTGCGTCTGGTTTTTTAGCGGGAACAAATAAATCGGGAGAGCTGAAAGTAAACATTTAAGCTAAATTCTATATTCTATTATAATACAATAGTATTATAATATATTATTATTATTATTATTACAAATAAATATTACAGTGTGAAAAACAGTGAAAAGTCCTCTTTTAGCCCTCGCTTTAATTGTAATTTAATCGTTCAACTAATAATTGTTTTCATTAAACTTAGCACTTCATTTTTGGCTTTTACAATCTTTTGTTCTTTCATGGAGTTAATAATGTTATTTTGATTTTTGCAGGATTCATTAAGAGCAATACCAAGGGGTTCATTAACTTCTATTTTCATTTCGTCTTCTGTATATATTGGCCTGGCATTCATAGTTGGCTCAACACTTGGTGACCAAAGTGTTTCAAATAAGTTCAGTACAATTTCAAGTTGTGACTCGCCAAACAAACTCTATGTAAATAAACATAATATAACTAAATATTTATGTATAATGTCTATTAGATAGCATGCGTGTTTTTAATAACATGTATTTATATAATTTTTGTATGTATGTTAATTGTTTTTAGGCAGTAAATCATACTATTGGGATCATAGCGTTGTATAGTCCATTAGTTTATGCTTCAGTTTTGGCTTCAACATTGACAGCATCGTTTTCTTCCTTTTTAGCCGCTCCAAAAGTTTTCCAAATGTTATGTAATGACAAACTGTACAACAATCTTTCATGGTTTGGATTTAGTACCAAGTCGGGAGAACCAATTAGAGCTGATGTATTAGCAACGATAATCGTTTTGCTTTTTATTCTCCCAGGTAAGTCTTGATTCTAAATAATGATTTGTTGTAGCTAAACAATTTATTTCTAATGAAATGTTCTAGGTGACTTAAACACAATATTGCCTTCAATATCTAATGTCATGCTGAGCGTTTATGCACTGATTAATTTTAGTACATTTCATGCGTCTTTGGTCAAACCAATTGGATGGAGGCCTACGTTTAAGGTAAATAATTTGCTAAATGTTTAATTTGATACTTGTAAATTAAATTTTCTTTTTATAAATATAATTTGGCTTTTAAGATAATTGTCCATAATTTTTATTTTGTTGAATATTTATTTTATTTCAGCTGTATAATATGTGGCTTAGTTTAGCGGGATCAATGTTATGTGTAGTTTTAATGTTTGTCATTTGTTGGTGGATAGCACTGGTGACATTAGTAGCTATATTAGCTCTTTATTTGATAGTATCTTACCAAAAACCAGGTAGATATTATTTAGTTAACAAGCGACTTTTACTTTATTGTGATTTAATACTCAGATGTGAATTGGGGAACCAGCACTCAAGCTCAAACATACAAGCAAGCGTTGATTGCTGTTCATAGTTTAATCAGGGTGGAAGATCATGTAAAAAATTTTAGACCACAACTTCTCGTTTTAACGGGAATGCCATCATCCAGGCCGCCATTGACTGATTTTGCTCACCTAATTACCAAAAACCTTTCATTACTCGTTTGTGGTAATATGATCAAAGTATGTGTATTTTTTCAAATAATTAAACAATGTAATTGATTAGTTATGCTAACTCGCCTGAATTTTATATTTATTAGACTCCTACTTCTCAAAAACTATTAGAAATATATTCGAAACGTGCCAATAATTGGTTAAATTACCATAAAATCAAAGGGTTTTATGTACAAATAGATGGTACTAATTTTGAAGATGGTGCAAAAAGTCTTATGCAAACCGTTGGCCTGGGTAAACTTAAGCCAAATATTGTAATGTTAGGTTACAAGACAAACTGGTTCAAATGCAGTACCAATGATTTAAATATGTATTTTAATGTTCTTCAGTATGTATTTTGGATTATTTTATTATTTAGTATATGTTTTTTTTTTAAATATTTTATTTAATGTTTTTTTTTTTTTACCAAACAGCAAAGCTTTAGATATTCATATGGGAGTATGTATATTACGTGTAAAATCAGGTCTTAACTACTCAAACTCGATTCTCATAGATGAAAATCAATTGGACATGATTGTTAATCGTAAAACTTCATTTATTTCGGAAGAACCATTTTTGCATAGTAGATCACAGTCAATGTCCACTGTGGGTATGTAAAATCGTCAACTTAAGCTTTTTCAACAGTTAAAAATTAATTTTAATGAAGATAACTGTTTCAGCAGAAAAGCATGATATTGGTGATGATAGCGAAGAAGACAGTGAATTATTAGCTAAAACTTCATATCCGGTGTACAAAAATCCTAATGAAGATATTGCTGAAAAGCATAAAGTATCTAAAAATCAAAAAGCTAATATTGTTAAGTATGTATTAATTTGCATAAGAAAAAAATGTGTTTTATTTCAATGCAACAATAATGTATTTAGGGGTACTGATGGTTATGATTTGCCAAAAGAAACTATCTACGATATTACGAGGTTTCAACGTAAACAGAAAAAAGGAACTATCGATGTTTGGTGGTTATACGATGATGGAGGTAAGATCTTGTATAGCTTATTTTGGGTTTAGTGAAATATAGTGTACAACATCAAAATTGAGACTTTACTATGTTGGTAGTCTATTATTTATTTATTTCGAACATATTTAAAGTTTGTTGTATTCATTAAAATTCCTTTAAACGTAAAATGAGGACCACCCTAATTTTTACAATATAAAAAAAGGATATTTTCATTGATTTAATTTAATGTGTATTAAAAATAATAATTGTTAACAATAATAGGTCTTACACTATTGTTGCCATACATCATTAGCACACGAGGAAATTGGTCCTCATGCAAGTTACGAGTATTTACAATTGCCAATAAAAAAGACCAATTAGAATTTGAACAACGAAGGTTAGTGTATTTGTGAAATTTTTAAGCTTTGGTTTGTTTTTAATATTTGATAATTATATATAATAACAAATAAACAAACTTGTTTTTTTCCAGTATTGCTAGTCTCTTGGCCAAATTCCGCATTGACTATTCTGATTTGTTGGTGATAACGGATCTATTGAGAAAACCTCACGAAGAAACGCTAGCATTTTACACTAGTCTAATTAAAAGTTATAAGCCTAAAGGACAAAATAATGAGGGTATAAAAAAAAGCTAGTCTAATACTAAGAAATAAAAAACGTAACTCTATTTATTTTCAAATTTTTTAATATTTTTTTTTAATAGGTATAAGCGAATCTGAATTAACTGCTATGAAAGAAAAAACAAATCGTCACCTCCGATTAAGAGAACTACTTTTAGAAAACTCTCAGGAAGCCAATCTAATCGTAATGTAAGTCTTAGAAACTAATGTGTTTATAAATAATTCATGTTAACTTAATGCGAAACATTTAGGACTTTACCAATGCCAAGAAAAAATGTTGTACCAGCACCATTGTACATGTCTTGGTTAGAGACGCTCACACAAGGTATGCCACCGTTTTTGTTGGTACGAGGAAACCAAAGCTCCGTACTAACATTTTATTCATGAGCTTCGGTAAGCTCGACACATTGTTCCTCTATTAATCACCGGTAAAGTGATATTAGTTATCCTAACAAAAATACTGTTTTTTTTAAAAATCAAAAAGAAGAACATTTTATTATAATATGGTACAAGACATATCATTCTTAAATTCAATTTAATTACTTTTACTTACTTTATATATTTTTAAAAGTATAATACATTGTATTATTATAAATATTTTTTAACTATTAAAATTATCTTTTTATTTTATTTTCACTCACAATAATTTCTCAGTTTTTTTTTTTAAATTGCATTTTAGCTTTTAAATTTATTTACACAAAAAATTCGCAATTAGCTACAAAAAAAAAGTAAATAAATCATCATCTCACACATCAATAAGTAATATTCAGTTTTTGTTTACATTTTTTCATAAATTTGCTATAAATTAAATTACTTAAATAATTCCTATATGTGCCTGTAATAACTTGTTTAGGATTAGGATTTCGCGAAACAATTTATTTTGTGTAAGCAGTGTGATATTGTATATCCTAATAATCTATTTTGAACATAATAGTTAATATATTATGTGTTATATTATTATGTTATAAAACACTAACGAAAAATATTGACTGTACTTACATTAATAATTTTGTAACATTATTTTTATGTATTTAATATTGTACAATAACATAGTACTGCTAATTGTTTCACTTCCAGTGGACAATAACCATCATTATTTGCCAGTATAACTTAAAAATATTTTTAAAAAACAGCTTTAACTTAAAAATAAAACGAGATATATTTTTATTAAATATTTGCTTAAAGAAAGAGTTAGTTTTAACCTCTGATTGAATACATCCATAAAATGTCAGTTTGGATGTCTTAAAATGTACCGTTTTTCTTCTCCATTGTCGTCTCAGATGAATAACGCAATCATTTTTATTTGAAATTTATATTTAGAGTTTACAATAAAAACCAATATTTGTTTGTACTGCTCAGATACCAGTTAAAATCTAGTCATGTTGACAACATGCTAATAAAATGTTGGTAGAGTCCCTTAACATAAGCTACATAGAATTTTGCATTAGCCATTGCATAGTTTATACAAAATAAGAAAGACTAGCTAATTTAAATTAAAATTAATACGTAAAACTAAATTAAGAATCGAGATCTGTGATTAAATCAATAAATACATTTATTTTTAATAATTAAATAATAATAATATATATTTTTTGTTAATATTTTTACCCGTGTACAATTGCTCAATTTATGCTCAATAAAAAAGTAAATCTAACTATACATTTTTTTAATATGTATACTTTTTTAGTAATATATTACTTTTTTTTTTATTATAATAAAATAATAAATTATTATATTATACTCTTTTGTTTGTAAGTAATATTTAGTTGATTAAGACACTTTTACCCACGGAAAAAAAGACAAATTCTTAAAAAATTATTAGTGTTAGATTTTCTCTCATTTTTTAAAATAAACACAATTTATTGATACTTATAGCATTTTTTTTATTTTTGTGATGTTTATGGAAATAATGATTTAAGTATATTTGATAATAACTATACGAAGACATAGTTAAAACGGTTTATCAAATCTGCTTACAAATTATAAACATTAATTACCTGCCGTCAAAGGCCGGTTGATATTATACAATTTGTTAATGAGGGTAGGGTTTAAGGTTATACTTTTGTGAGTATACCTATTTTAATGTGGTTCCTGTCCACTGTAGAAGACATTGTGCAAAATTGAAAGACAGTATACTCCGTACACCTTCGCTTAAGTAGTGGAGGAAAAAACATATTTTTAAATTATGAAAACAATGAAAAATCCCTGAGAAGTGCCCAACCGAATCTATAATAATATATAAGTGTAAGAATTTAAAATGTTTAAATGATAGGGCTGAGTATAATTTTTTAAAGAAATTAACAACTAACAAGCGATACACTTAATGGTCGACATGTATTAATTTTTAACAGACTACAGCTGTAATAAGTGGAGAAGTCACAGTGCATGTAAAGTATACAGGTAATTTTTAAAGTCACTTGTCGGTCATTGGTGGTTCTTGGAAGACCTATGATCAATTTTATTTCAAAGAGAATACATTAAATGCATTCTCTTTAATTTAGTGTTTCTATTTCAGTGCGTTACTTCAAGTATTTTTACATTGCTTAAATATATTTCTCGAGAGACCAATGGACAATGTCATTTCAAAGAGAATGCATTAAATCGCGGAACATCACGCATTTAATAAAAAATACTGTAAGAACTGTATGTATCAATTGATATTGTAATGTATTCTTTTGCAATTATTTATGTAGACATTATAATTTGGTCATTTGATAATAATTGTACAGGAAAAGATATTAAAAGTATTAAGTAGTTCTCTATTTTAAAATTAACATGCGATTAGCCATTAGGTTGATTTAAAAAAGATAAGTAATGACAGTTCTTGTTCTTCTATTTCATTGTAATTGTTCTTATAGTACATGTATTTAATACATTTAACTTCAGTGTAATTGAAAAAAGGTATACATATATTACTCAAAAATATCCATGATTTTTTTTATAAATCAAATTTTTTTTTGTATTATTTAAAAACACAAATATGTAAAAATAATTCCAGAATTTCATAAAAAAAATAATATAATGGGTTTGGTTTAAGTATGAAATTACTTATTACTTAATTGTACAATAATAATGATACAGTGTTTTTTTCAGACACAAGAAACATGGTTGATTTTTTGAGTGGTAGAAAGGAAGCAATGATTGCCAATGGATTTTTAAATCGGGTTTCTTCAGCTGTGTGCTTTGTTAAACAATGGTCAAAAATTTTTTTCTCAAGTATAAAATAAATCCTATTATCGACAGTTACAGATTAAGTAAAATAGTTACAGACAAACAAGTAGTTAACAAACAAAGTTTTTGAAATTGAAGAACTTCAAACCGATCGGCTGCTAATAACAAGTCACTATTTATAAACTAGGTGTTCAGAAATCACTTAATTTTAATTACAAATTAAAAGTCGCATTACAAAAAATGTTAAATCACTTTAAATATTTAAGAAAATATGATTGAAACATTATCGTTGTAACTTGTAACATTATGTAGAATTTAGATTATGTTATAGAATCTTTAAGATTTTTTTTCCTTGTCCATATTTTTTTAGTTGCCTAGGCTTAGTGCAACTTTATAATTATTGTAACAGCACATACCGGTTTGGTTCCGGGAGTATAACTTTTTAATATTTATGTTACACGACTACCTAAAAACTTAAGACGCATCAACCACTAACAATGAGTTCTAATTTTCTAATTTGTTTTACAATTTCTACAAACCGAACATTTAAAATTGTATTGTTATTGGAAACTTTCTCTCACATTTTACTGCCGTTCGTGTAAGTATTCAGTTTAGAATACAGAATACTTGTAATAACTTAATACAATCGAATGTATTCCTAATAACGTATGAATTCAGTCCATACACAATACGCGCGACCTATTATTCGGTTCTAAACATGGCAAACTTTACTCAATTAAGTTTTAGTTGGCGATCGGTTAAAACGTTAGCTTACTGTGAAAAAAAAATGTTTCATTTATAACGTCTAAGAATTAGGTGTGTGTACTTAACATTTTTATTTAGGTAAAACGTTGTTAAATTTCAAAGTAACTTTTAACTTAACGATATGAAGGACACAGGGGAAGAAGGATAGTAGTCCATTTATGAAAAACTAATTTTCATATAGTTTTTTTCAATATATACCATTAATTTTTTTTATTTATGTCAATAGATTGTTTAGATAAATACATTTTTTAGTAGAATAGCACTTAATTTGATATTTTTTTTGTTTTTATGTAAGAGGGAGTGGTCTGAGTCGTATAAAATGTTCATCTAGATTCTAGACCATTTGTAGCGATTTGATTTCTCCCGTGTCGGGATTAACGGTTTTCTAATATAGATAGATATAAATGTCGTATAATATAATATTTTCTATATCCAAATAATATCAACGATAATAACATTATAAACGTTATCGTTAAAGAAGGAAGTGTACGACTATTTGGCTGATGCTTCTTCACGGGTGACATTTTCACAGTTGGTCATACAAACAATGCGTGTATTTTACACAGGGAAACCGTAACGTTATTTTTCTTAAGTAGAAATTGTTATAGTACGGTAATGGCGAAAACATTTTATTCTTCAAGTCCCTCTCCAAAAAAAAAATATATATATAATATAGAATAACATAACTTAATGGTGATTTAAGACATATTGTGATGACGATAAAAGTAATATATATGTATAATATGATCTCACACAGAGAACTAAATTAACTCGACGTCCGTTTGTCTTTTATGTGTGTACATATATATTCAACTGTCTTCATCTGACGTCTATTCATGTTAGGTAAAACTGTGCGGAAGATTTTCACCGTGTAAAAGCACCTATTTCCGAAATATGTGTTATATGCGTTTGACATAATAACAATGATGAAATTAATTTCGCTTTGCCATAACTTATACTATGTCGCATACTGTTGTCGTTAAGAAATAGAAACGATCATTTTAACTTTTACACCATTAACGCGAACAGTTTGTTGGTACCTATTTATTAGACATAAAGCTACATAAATCAATTGCGCGAATCCGTATGTTGAGGTCAGGCCATGGTCACAGCACATTTTTTAAAAATATCAACAATTATTTCAATTTTCCATTTAAGAGAGCCCCGAGGGCCGTTACATTTGCGTCTCAACTCTCAGACGTGCGTTTTAAACTCGCATTACCTTATTGCGCAGTTATACATCACTTTATTAACAACGAATTAAATATATTTGGCCTGTCTGACATCAGTTTATCAATCATTGTCGTAGAAACGGCAGTTGAAGTTCAAACAGTTCATTGCACTAAAACACAAGCCCGCATCTCATAATTATAAACTGGCTGATCTGGCCGATAAAAATACGTTTTATGGTTGATCTAAAATTAGAAAAATTAGATAGGTTTTAGTATTTCCATACACTTATCGAAGTAATTAAAAAATGATAAAAAGTAGATAGGTAATAAGACAATGAATGTCTCAAACGCATTTGGTATTCGGTAATAAAGTTCATACCATATTGATTGCCTAACAATTTAATTATATAAATACATCTTATTTGGGAAGAGTTAAGTCTCGACTATAATAATAATTTATTTTTAAAACTAAATGTGCAAATACAACAAAAATTTAGTCCACAATTTAAATTAAATTGTTTCTTTACAATATGTTTACAGTTTTAATTTTGCGGAACCGCTACTTACATTATTTTGTACTGATGTCAAGGGTATTATTTACCTTTGTTTTGTCTATTCAGGCAAATACATTTTAAACCGTCTATTGTTTATAATATTCGACCTTTTTCGGTTAATCTTAATACCTATATTTTGTAAAACGAATATTTTTTAAACAATTTGTCACGGCGCTATATATAGGTATTATAAAATTGCAAAACTTCACATGAACAATACATTATCAAAATGTGAAAATTTATAATTTATGTCGCTACTTGCAACTACTGTACCTAATATCGGATTAACAATATAAAATTTCACAGTAACTTTATTTTTTATTTCTTCAATGCACTAATGTATTAATAAATTATGAAAATATGTATACATGAAGAGTAGATATACAGCTTTTCGTTATTAATATTAACTAATATTATAAACAAAAATGTGTATCATAATTATCAGGATAACATAATTATCAGCTTTATTCTGGTGAGATCAAATCAAGCCATCAAGGTCCGAAGAACAATGTTACCTTTTGATGATATTATACGTATATTCTAATTTCTAACACAGTGATAGTTAAAATGTTAATAATTTGAAATTTACAAAAGTCTCTGGTATTCATCACACTTATTAGGTACATAATGAAAGCAGGTTGTTCTCTACTTAAAAATTACTTTTGTTTATTTCGAATTTGAAGAGGTGTTTTCATTTATTTTGTTATGAACGGTCATATTATCTGAAAATACTCTGGTAGGTACAAATTGCAGTGTACAAAAACTCTTCAAACCTACTTTGTTTCAAACAGAAAAGTTTTCGTTTTGTTTGTATTAAAAAAAAAACAAAATGAAAAGATCATTGAAATAATATAATAGAGAAAATCTTTTTTTTTTTTTTACTTGAATAGTTGTTATTTCACGTTGGACCAGTGCGCATATGTATCTTAATATGACAACATAACACTAACCGACAACACAATACAAATTGTATATGTACAGTCGTTATGGTAAACGGAGTATTCAAAAATGGTCGTGGGTGACGTAATAATAAGAAGACGTGTGTCAAGTATACAAAAACATTATGCTAATAATATATTTTGAAGCGAATAAAGGCCCAAAATGTATTGTTATTTTTTTCCGGGATGCATTGTATCTTTGCCTTCATATTTAAGTACCTACGCGGAAGTCGTCACAACTCGACAATACAGCGACCTTAACACTTCTGCCTTTTAATACTTGCCAGTACGGTTGAAGTGCTCTTAATTAGTTCTTGAAGTATGATATTCAACATCAATTGTTATCCAATTCAAACTTGTTAACATGCGGAGACTTTACCCTTCCGAGAGGTAGCCTTAGAATTAGAGAAACGCATCAACCAAATGCGCATTTTTCAAGAGAGCCAAATTTCAATTTTTTTTTTTATAATTTAACATTTTTTGAGTAGTTGTTAAGTAGTATATAAGTATAAAAAATAAATATTTTTTTAAGAGTCAGGTTATTTAAAGTAGCATGTATTATATAAAAACAACACATATAATACATGTAATTTATAATGTTATTATAAAAATAGTAACCAATATAATATTTATTGTATATTAATAATAAAGTTGTCGAGTTATTAAGTAAAGGTGGTTTGCATTGTTAGTGCCGATTTCCAAAAATGTTTTTTACTTGTTTATATATAGATATTATATATATTACAAAGAGCTTTCGAAGCAGATCAAAATGTGTGTTATTTATTATTACAGTTACTCATTACTGTATTAAGCAAATCGTATATTATATTTTCCTATTAAAAGAGTAAAATATAAAATGATGACTATAAAACTTTTATCTAATGATAAATCTGTCCATAACCCTGTCACATATAATATATTATTATGTTTACCGTAGTAATCGATTTATATTAAAGAGTATTACTTTAAGAATATGAAAAAACTAAGCGTAAAGCGACGAAAGCCAAAGTAATGAACAACTGATTACAATCGATTTTATCGACCATATAAGCCATATTAAAATCATGACTTACCGATAACAACAATGGAAATGGTGAACCTCGTTTGGCTATAGTTCAGTTAATGGTCTATTAAAATCGATTAAGTATTTCATTGGCAACAGGCAAATGATAATACTTAAAGAATGTAATTTAGTCGCATATAGCAAACGGCTATTAATTCACGCATTTGCATTAAAAAAACCATTGTTCATTATCAATCTTCGACAAACAAACCAATCTAAAGAACAATTAAGTAGATATCTGCACTGTACCTACGTTTATAACTGTATACAAAAATATTCCATACTGTGCATTATAAACATTTTTATGGAGTAAGACAAATGCAGGTGATTACATAATTACTTATTGTGTTTTAAAATTGAAATTGCGTTTGTCATACAAACGCAATGGTAGGAACTAATTGACGATTAATACTATAAAAACACTAAACGATCAAGTGTTAAAGAAAAAACTAACTGTTGTTTTAGTTTTCTGTAGTGCATAAGTAGGTGTGGTGGCTAACAGCGTATGTTTATATTTAAATTGAGCACTATTTTTAAGGTAGCCTGATTATAAAATAAACATTGAAGAAAAACACTAAACATTGGTAATTATCAGTTAAACAAAGTATTTTAATGATAATGTTATACTTCTATTTATTTTTAATTTTAACTTGTGCTGACATAACCGAAATTTTGTGAAAAATGTATTAATTTTAGTAGAATATATATATGTTTTAAGACACAACTATTAAATAATGCGATTTTAAAAAATCTTACTCAAATTATTAGATAACAAAATTACAGTAAACATTTATAAAAAAAAATATCCACTTTTTCGGGGAGAAACAAAGAATCATAAATATGCATTAAGACAACCAACCACCCACTCTTGATCTTAACTTTAATCGCAAATAAATTAAGCAGATAAGTAAATAAATCGAGTAAACGAATAACGAAAATAGACAACAATGGGACAGTTTTTGAACTTACTGAAAAACGTTACTCAAATATGGACCCAATATTTGTGTAACGCAACTGACCTCGAGCCATAAAACATATTCATGTTAAAATATCTTGTTTACAATTATATGAAACCTAACACAAATAGAGAACTTTGTTCCTTTTTAACACGTTGAATGTAAGTAATAATGAATTAAGAGAGCAAGTCTTTCAAGAAAGTGACCCTTCCTTTCATATTATGATTCGGATTAAGTTTAAATTTCAATTCCAGTTACCATAAACTAAATAAAAACGATTTACAAGTAAAAAAAATAGTCTAGGATTATGCCTACTGGCCCTTTTGATTAATAGACCTATGTCTGTATGTCGTCCTATGTCCTTGCCCCTCCGGGACCTGTATTCCCTAGATATAAGTTCCTTGAGGAAATTAAAAAAAATATCGTTGACATGTTTATTATATTTGTTGTCGAGGAGAAATGTCGCTACATTAAACACATTTTTGTAGTTAAAAGACTTCTAGTGAAAAGTCCTTGAAGTGTCTACTAAGATAATATTTTATTGATTGTGGATTTTTATAAGGATTGAAGAAGGTGTTTTTGTTTGATAAAAAAAAATGGTGAGTACTTCGCGCCGCGCTGGAGCAATTTTCTTTGACTGTATGACTACTCTCGTTGTCTTCTACTGTGCAAATTGATTGTTTATGGGCATTGGATTTTCATGAATTTTTTTTAGCGTTTCTTGTTGTTTGGCACGGTGAACAGTACAGAAGTGCACATGTACAAGCCAGAGATCAGCAATAATTGCAATGAACTGACTTGGCTTTCATAATATTTTACACTCGCTTCCTGTACAACAAATAAAGGCGCACAGATGCACCTAATCTAACCTAACCGAGCAATTCCGCAGCTGAATATTTAATTTCGCGGGTTAATTTTGTACGAATTGAATCGTCATACTTTTCAACATAATACTTTTGATAGCCATAACATTTTATGTTTAAGCACAGAATAGATGAAAACAGAATGTTCATTTTTAATGTGAATAATAATGCGGACGCCGTATTGTTAGTACACAACTCTTATGACTTAATGAGAATATAGATAATATTTAATGTATTGTCTCGTGTAATAAGAGGATTGCTGTCGTATTTTATCAAAAATTATATACTGTCCGTGTTAATTTCAATTAGAAGTATCAAATATAGGCACATAAATTAAAATGACCTACTAAAATTAGTTTTCAAATAAGTTATTTCATTAAATACAAATCGTGATTAAATATTCAATTTTTAATTGCGGACTGTTTATTAAATAAGTCATGATTAAGGGGATTGAAAGCGGTTTGTTTTTATGACGTTTTAGACCAAAAAGCCTGAAAAAATTTCGACTACTTAGGATGGTCCGATTTCAATTCTGTAATGATATATTAAGATTAATAGTTACTTTTCTAAGTTATATAAGAACCGGTTTTTTTATTTTTATTTTAAGCAAAAAAAATTATTTTTCAAATTTAGTTTATTTAATTACAAGAAACTGAATTTTAAAAGTGTAAACCGGTTTTCTACATAATCTAGTAAAGTTGTCAAAGAACTCGAATCACTTTACAGAATTTAAATCGGACTATCTTAAACAGGCGTAATTTTATTAGGCTTGCAAGTCAAAAATACCATGGCGTTTACTCATTGAAAACAATTGTATAAGTTAAAAATTAAAATTGATACTTTGAAAAAAATATAAATAATAAATTTAGCTGGTCGTAATTTATTAAAACCTTTTTTATTTATTAAACTATTGTCCATATAAAACTCCTTCAAAAACCCATCCGCTTTCAATCCCCTCAAATATTTAATCATTGGCTCCAAACTAATTCAATCATCATTGATCCAATTTAAGTTCCGTTAATCAGTTTTAATTTGCGCATCCTTATGATTAATGATTATAAATTTACTCAGACCATTAGTCGATTGAAAATTGTTTGCCCGACACTGTTACCCGTGTGGCTTATGGAAGAGTTTATCACCGCCAGATTCTAGCCATCGTCCACACGTCCGTGGACAATGCGCAACGGTAGTGCGGGCTCTCGCTACTTGCGCGGATTGTTGGTAAATTAATCGTTATTTATAATATTATATGTTTTCATTGCCGTGGGATTTATCAGTAGTTGGGCTATATTCGGATTTTGCGTTGGATAGGTTCTCGGGTATAAAACCGGTGGAAACCAGAGAGGCTAGACGACGCTCCGCTACGAATGATCATCATGTAGGGCACGGGAAAAAATGTATACATTATAACATTGTCAAGCGTTATTGTTGTTGTTGTTGTTGTTGCCCACACATAGACACGTTCGGGCCGACTCCGGACTCGTCGTTGTGTGTCCACGTGAAAGCGTGACAACGATTTAACGATCGGCAGCGGTCGGTAACGATCGGTCCAGGAGTGGCGGCAACGACCTGTCCGACGACGGCGAAACCGGAGGACCGTGTCGCACCACCGCAGTAGCGAAGAATCGCCGTCCTGTGCCGGTGTAGGCTGTTCTATTTGTGTTTGTGTGTGCGCGTGCGTCGTTTCATATTATTTTGTGCGGCCGATTTTATTATTATTATTGTTATTATCATTGCTGTTGTTGGTGTTTCTACGGCGAGTGCAGTTGTTTGTCCACGGTATTGTTTATTGTTTGCCGAGGTCTCGTCTTGCGCAAAACAACACCATGAGGCACACGTGACCCTCGGCCATGCGCCGACAAGCGACATGGGTGAGTTACACAGACTGTTATTAAAATAATTAAAAATAATAACAATAAATTAACGATTATAATTCTCCATTTCGCGTCCTCAACGTAAGTACTAAGTACTCCACTCACCACCGTCGTTTTTAATAGGATTTCCAACAGATCGGTGGCGCAATTAACGGTGTTTATAATTTTGTTTTTATGAGGCATTAACAAGTTGCTGCCAGAATAATTAGATACCTATAAATAAATGTATCTATTTAGTAACGCTACCAGCACTATGTTTGGTATTCAAAGCACTCGACTTGTTAATACTATATTTCAAATGACATCTCAATAATTTATTGATGTTGGTCCAGTAGCTTAGGAGCAATGGCTGTCTCAAGAATATACTTATTAATAAAATAGATTCTTAAAGTATATTTCTTTGAGGGGTTTCAACCATTTAACTTCCTCGTTTGATTGCGACACTGACGTTTTGCACACCGTACATCATCTTAAGTTGTGCAAAAATTCCCTATTTTCGTTCAGAATACCTAAGTATTGCAATGGAAAAAGCGCGGGCGACCAAACTAAATATTTGTACTGTTGTTGGCGGTTTCGAGTGGGCGAAAACGTTATAAGGCATATCAATCGGCGGATATCTAGTCGTGATAGTACATAATATGTTGTTTGGCATTGGTGGGTATATCACCATAATACACTTTCTACAATTATTACTGGCGGCCGACCATGAATCATACCTAGTGTTGTACCTATTTTAATGTATCCGTTTTTATATTCTTCTCCTCGACGGTAATACTAATAGTTTACAGGTGCCGTAGAACGATTCTAATAATATATTCACACTACTGTTTGCAGCAACAGTCGGCGTTAGCAGATCTTGGAATTCGTCGCTGTCGTTTGATAGGTGCTTTAGTACCTACATTATTTATTCTTGTTGTTGCTTCCATTGATTAAACATATATATATATATATATATATATATATATATATATATATATAGACTACGCCTTACACCTTTAACCCGATTTCAAAACGAATGAACCTGCAAAAATTAACTTATACTTGGAAGTCCTATCTGAGTGTATATGTGGCTGTAACTCACGCTAGTTGATCGACAGGCGATAGGTTGTTTTTTTTGTCCTTGGACCAACCAATAGTGAAGCAGTGGCCGGCGGCGCAATCAAGATTTAATGTTTGGGGAGTGATTATGTACTGTTATCTTTCAGACGATGTATAGAAGCGAGCGTTAAATTTTTTGATCGCTAATACACAAGTTCATTCAGGTTGGATTACAAGCACAAAGTAGTATAATTACATTGCGCCTATCGACTATTACCATAGCAACATTGTTAGTTGTCCGGATACGGACTTTGGTCGGGTGACTTGAACGCTGCAGTAAAGACCTCTTCAGTCGCATTGTCCCTCGAGGAAGTGTAAACCGCTTTTATAATTTCTGATAATAATAACAGGATATTTTTTGTAAAATTCTGTAACCTAACCGTCGCGTCGTGGATCCCACCCATCGTTATATCTTTTACCCATCGGTACTCTTACCGGGCGCCATACTGTCGGCACACGTGGGGTAGTTTTTTTATTGTGGTTTAGAAAATAATGTTGTCAAACGTCCCACTGTAAGACCTTGCGCGTTTTTTTTTTGTTTGTTATTCGTAGGTAGGTACAAATGTAATTATATAACTAGTATTGAATTTTGAGGTGTCAATAATTATTCCACGGACGGTTCTACTAGCAAGACAATTATTTCTTAGACTACCTTGTCATCTATTTGTAATCAATATTTTTTCATACCAACAAAATCTTCATTTAAATAATAACTGCGTATTAGAATATTATTTACAAATCAAGTTTCCGTTCAGGTTCAGCGTTCCGTTTAGAAGAATACAACAACGACCAACTAGAAAAACACAACGATTGGTTGGATAATAATTTTAGTTAGTGATTTTTCCATTCTAAGGGTTCGGTTGTTTAATTATTATTTTATCTAAATTTGTATAATATGTATCTATCCTAAGCTTTTTGTCAATGTAAATTTAAACTGTGGTACATCAGCTGTCTGTAGGCCCTCTGGTAAAAATGTACTTGTCTATCTGGATATTTTGATGAACTCCAGGGTCGGTTAGTGCTTAACCTGATAGCGGTAACACGTTTGAATGTCCAGATTTTTCTAGTTTATAAATGGGACCTCATTCTTATCGATTGTACTTGTAGCTATAAATAGTTACGAAAAATCTTCAACAAGTGTGACGAACGACGGTTATTATAAACTCCAGAAAAACACACTGGAATAAATAGATTAAACAGTAAAAAAAAAAACCGTCGATGACAACGCAAAAAAAAAATAGCGCGTTTCGAAATATGTAGTTTAGCAGCATTGTTATGTATGTATTATAATATTATTAGGATTTAGGCTATACCATAATAATATATCCCATAAGAAGAAGACAATGAACCGTCGCGAATAATACCAGGCCACCGTTATGTCGCCATTTGAGTGTATACCGATATTGTATCTGTAACCTACTGCTAGTTTTACACATTATTAGAATATCAGTCCAATGGTTTACACGAAAACGCCTTAATTTTTTTTTTTAAAAGATGATTTATCAAGCTTTCTTTTGTCCTTGACGATCAATTCTAGCACAGTTACAAAATTAAAAGCCCCCGACTTCAATTGTTTTTTATTTTTAAATCTATCGGTATGTATTGGATGTTTATCCATTATAATTTGTGAGTTGACTTAGGCGTCATGCTTTTTCAATAAGTTAGTTAAATTAGTAAACTTGAAATCAGCGTTTTTTTAAATCTCATTTAGATATGATTTAATTTTATGTTTGGTTGCGAAAGCGCGTTCTGTTATATTGTACGCGGCTCGTAATGATGATTTTTTATTACTATTGTTTTTTTTTTTGCATATTTGCATCGCTAATCTCTAAAACCGATGAACAGCGCGTAGAACGTACAACACAATATTTTGTTCAGCAATAATTATTTTCTATTACATTGTTATTGTCATTACATATTCTAACCTCGTTACGAAAACGCCAAAACTGCGTTCCTATACATAGATAGATATATTGTTGCTATTGTAATTTTTTATGATTTCAGGCGACTAATAATTATTTTATTATAACATAATCAGCAGTAAAATATTTTTTAACCTTGAGCCGTGCGCCTGTTGTGATTCTGCGATTCGAGTTTCTTCTCTTTCCCGGTTGATCAGCACAAGTGTATATAGTTACCGAGTTATTGTACGGGAGACAATGACAAAAAAAGTTCATTACACTATTGGCCAACGAATGTAACCCTATAACGCAACTATACAAATCAAAAATCGATTGTACTTACATTTAGTTATTGAGTTTATGTGTACCCAACAAGGTCCAATGTGATTATAGTCGAATACCGGTTACCTTGAGATACTTTTTGTTCGTTTGATCTATTCCATCTTCTCGGATGCATATTATTATTATTTATTATTAGTATTTTTATATTTTATATTTGTAGTACAGGAAAGTTTAGTTCGCTATCAGCGCGCCAGTTTGTAAAGTATACGCTGTGGCGTATGAGTTTGGGATTGGTTCACATTTATATACAAGCTAAATGTAAATCTGTCAAATTCTCGTGACTTAAATGTCAGCTTACAGTTTGAAACGCACGCATGCTAGGAAATCGGTACATAGGACTTGGGATAGCCGAGAGAAAGGTGTTGACTGAAAGGTGTTGAAAAACAACTTTTTTTTATTTTTGCCCTATAGTTGATTTTATTAAGTATTTTTGTTTTGCCAGCATAACGAAAAATCAAATACATCTGGCCTCGGTGCGTAAAGAGGAGGCAGTTGTCTCTTGCTCTTTTATTAATATTTTGCCCAAAGTCTTAAAAAATCTCAAAAATGTCTATTTGCTAAAATATTATTGGCAATAACCGCTTAAATGGCTTTTGTGTACTAAATAATTATCTTTCAATAAAAAAAAAGTACCTAAATGAACGAGATGGGGTCCGTTTCAAAATTTAATATTAATATTAATGAAACAACAGAAAGATATATATGTGAAAAAATCGTATAGTTTTAGTACAGTACCAGGATGATTGTCAAGTATATTAAGTTCAATTTCATTCACTGTTTTTTGGTTTTTCATTGTCGTTTTTTTTCTTATCAACTCGGTCGTTTTTGTATTATCTTCTATACAGCAACCGGCTTTTTGTGTTCGTTACTGGTATTTGGTGGTATGAACCTCAAGCATATTATGTGCGCAATCTACTGAATACTATGGCACGTCATCGGTGTACAGTATACTTGCTTCTAGACAACACAAATGATGACAACAGGCTATATATTATATCCTATATAATACACTCACATAAGTTACAAAGACCAAGATATGACAACTGCGGTCGGATATTGTCATTATAGCCAAAACGTCACGTATAAATTGATAATGAACAAACAGTAATGTGATATCCCGGCGTGGTCACGAGCCAACAAGTTGCAGTCAATATTGTTTTTCTCTTCGTACCTACTGGCAATCGGTATATTTTTTTTTTGTGCCGTACCCGTTTTATAATAAATAGTTTTTCCATCATGTCCGGTTTGGAGTGCTACTGTTTCAGTTTATAAATGGTAATTTCATCAATCTTTATGTAACTCGTTGTGTCATTCAGTCTGTACACCGTGTTTTTTTAATAATGTTCATGGAATGCGTGTAATCATTATAGCGGTACATATCTGAATAATTGCAATTAAATGACGTTAATTTTGTTGTATCGAGGAAGTCTGGTATATGGAAACCGGTGAAATTGTGTTTATTGAATAATCCAACTATGCAATTAGCATAATATATTGTACAGTTATCTCTCATATCATGTGATTCATCGACTATTGTTTAAAATGATCCAAAGACTTAGGAGATGTATTAGCATAATATTTATGATAATTATAAAACCAATAGTGTTTAGTTAAAATATACAAATTAGTCAATAGACTTGTTGTTAAGCGTAAAAT